TTAAAGCTTGTGGTAGGTCAAAGACTATCTAGAAAAAAGGTCTTCCTGGAGTAATGAAAAGTATAAATCATATAGAGCGCAAAGTACCCATTTCTTTACGAGCCAGTACTATCTAAGTTGATAATATCTAGTAGATATTAATCACTACTTTGACAGGTGCTTTAAATTATTAATTATATACCAGTCTTTTTCATTAGTTTCTCGCCCATTAGCCTATCACAGTGCTAACAATAATGCAGTTACTGTTGTGAAAGTATGTTGTGTTCCAGAAGCCTGCCCCATTGCACATTCAGTTTTTAAAGTTTGTGAAGTTAATCTATAATTAAAAACATAAAATTTATAATAGTTTAATAAAGTATGTAGTCAACTACTGGATGTGGCAGCATTCAACGCCGACATCACATGCAAATAAAGGGGCTTTATTGGCTGACATAAATTGTGAGAGGACAGAGGTACGCTGTTCTCTTGGAACCTGGATCAGGACCTCACGCGTGGATCAGAGAAAACTAGTTTTTCCCTCCTTTATTCCTCCCTCTTGTTCTTCTTCTTTTCTGTCTCTAGTGTCTGCTTCTTTGTGACACTAAGAGGCTTATGTTTAGACTAAAGACAGAGGGAAGTTTAAAGAATGGTGTGGATCTGGTTTGCAGACCTCTCCCTGGGTGCATCCCTGCTGCGAGGGAAGCCAGGCCCCGTGCTCAGCCAGTCCTGTGCCTGTTTCTCTGGGGCAGCGGTGGAGAAAGGCCAGGAGAGCAGTCAGGAATGAGGAGACAGTCTTTTGGGGAAATGATAGTAGTAACTATGCAAGGGAAGGGAATCTTAATCATTGAAGATAACCTACCGAGGATGCCACTTAATTTTATCCTTTACATGGCTTAAAGCCAAGCATCTGTTTTCCATTTCGAGCTTTCTAATTTTTTTCTCAAGATTTTTAATATTTTGACATTTTTATTTTAGCAGTTAGGATGCGTGTGTGTGTGTGTGTGTGTGTGTGTGTGTGTGTAGTGAGTATTTACCTTTTGAAAACGTAATTACCCTTTAGTGAATGCCTTTTTCTGTGTATACCCAATCTTGAGAAGAATTACCTGTTGTGTGCCATCCTAAGAGGAAACAGAACACTACAGGCAGCCATTTGGAAAAACTGTCAGAATTTGAGCTGCAGAATAAGTGATTAGATGGCGGGTGTGTGGTGGCACTGGAAAGGCCTAGTGGCTCTCCTTGCACGTCTTTGCCTGTGACTCCTGTCAGCTCCTGAAGCCTGGTTCTGGTTCTCTAGCTCTCCTTTGAGCAGCGGGTTCTTATATCCTTTTAGTTAATAATGACCAGCATCGATTTTCAGTGCTTCTGAGCAGGAAACTTGCTTTCAGAAGGCTGGTACAAGGACGCCCCTGCCAGTCTACAAAGACTTGTTCTAGGAGTCTGTGACGACGGAGAACTCTGAGTTTGATCGCACAACTTCTCCTGCTTGCCATGTTACGTTGCTTTCCCCCTAACTCAAATGAAGGCAAGAGCTTTCATGCCCACTGTGGTCACACAGGTCACAGTAGCTGTTTAAATTTGAATAATTAAAATTTTGAGAATTGAAATTTAGTTGCCCAGCCATACTGGCCACTTTTCAAAGTGCTGTAGCAACACATAGCTAGTGTCTGTCATGCTGGAAGGTGCAGCTACTAAGACATTTCCATCATCAGTGAAGGCTCTGACCTTCAGCGCTGTTGAGCGTTCAGGTGGGAATTCAGTCCCTTAGTTTTCAGTGTACCTGTAGCGCTGGGAACTGGGCTCTGCATTTATAGGCAGGCACTCAGTAAATACCTGTCGAATGTTGCGGTGGCTGGTATGCACTGTGTGCTGTCCCTCCGTATCACAGTGGGCCGCGTTACACTATGAAAGGAACTTGTAACAGCTCCATCTTGCAGTGATTCCACAGCTGCCTTTTACATTTTTACACGGCTGCGTTCTCTGTTGTACCGTGGCCTCCATTCTATGGAGGCCCTTCTGTTTCTACTGCTAAAATGACTTTTAAAGTGTAAAGTACTTATTTATAGTTTCTTCCCCCAATTTACTCATCCCTCACTTTCTGAGTTTTCCCCACCCTCCTCTATTCATTAAACTTCTCCTTTAACAATGACTTCTGCTTTAACCTTTGAAATCCCTGTTCTGTTACCAAGAAATGCTTTTGCAAGATTTTTCATACTCCCTCCTGATGTCGTTTTGTCTTTTTTTTCCTTTCTCCTATGACAAGGGACCAACAAGGGAAATCCACGCTTGTAAACACCGACTCTTGCTATTAGACCGTTATTAGACTGCTGCAGTTAAAACACTTTTTCCTTTGATGCTTGTTGCATGTGGTTTGCACCTATTTTTCTTCTTTGCCAGTTACAGATGCACCAGATGTTCCTTAAGTAAGTCTTTGGTCCTGGCTCCACTTTCCTGTATTTTCTGTCCCTGGCCACCGTCTTAAAGCGACTGCACCTCCAAACTGTTGAACGGTTCAGCACCTTTAGCCCTGTGGTTTATCATGTTCACACTCTGGAACTTTGGTCTCTGTCCCACTTTATCATCTCAAACACGTGGCCACATCCTGGGCCTTGTTTCCTAACACCATTCATTCTGAGGACCTAAATATCTCCATCATCCCTTCCCACTCTATCCTAATCCTTTTTTAGACTCATTTATTTTCCTATTACAGCAAAAACATTCTTTCCCTGTTTATTTCTAAAGTGCACTATGCTTTAATGTTGTTTTCTCAGTTACCTGTAGGACCTTATTTTGTCATTTACACTCTTCTTCACCTTCAGCGTATCATTCTGTATCTCAGATTCTTAACTTTATATTCAAGATCTAGTTCAAATTGTATCTCTCATATGTAACCTTAACTGGTCCCTAATGAAAATCAGTTACATTTTTGCATGTACTTTGTTTTTGCAGTCCTGAGACTTGAACCTGTGGCCTCAGCATTGAGCTACAACCCTAGCACATTTTTTTATTACTGAGATAGGGTCTGAGTGAATTGCTTAATTGCCCAGACTAGGTTTGAACTTAGATCAGCTTCTCAGAGTTCTGGGGTTATAAGTGTACACCACCAGGCTTGGCTTTTTTTCCTCTAATTTATACTTATAAAACTTTCTTTCTTTTGCCTTGTGATATACTTTAAATATTAAAAACCTTCTTATCAGAAAAAATATTATACTTTAATTCCTAAATCTGTAACACTGTCTTTTGAAACACTATCTACTTTTCTTGAAGTCTTTTGTTACTGAGATTTAAAATCCTTGCTGTTAGTCCTAAGCCCTGATAATATCTACTAAAATGATTTTTATTTATGTTAAAATCCATTATCCCTTAAAATCTTAAATGTAATATCTTAAATCATGAACCAATTTTCTCTTTTAAAAAATCTGGGACCAGTTTTAGAATGTGATCCCCAGCGTATCAGGAAAGTAAGCTGAACAGGGGCCTGTGCTGTGCGGCGTCTCCCCACCTGCTGTGCTGGTGTGCTGGTTTCTCTCATGCTTACTGGCATTCGGATGCTCTTTACCCTTTATTTCTTGGCGTCAACTTTGTATGTTGGGCACTATTTTATCCTCACTGTAGACTTCTACTAAAGCAGTCAGGCCATGAATGCTTTCTTACTGTGTCTTGTTTCTTCCTGATCACCCAAGTACTGCATATCCACAGTCTTTATCAGAGCTAGGTTGTTAGAGCCTATGTTTTCTAACTCTGGCTCTAGTCTAGGACCAACAGTGCTCTCTCTTCTGTCCATTGTTACGACTTTGTAGAAATAAATCTTTAGTCATTCAGAAACCTAAAAGCACCAAATTAATGATGTTCCTAAATATTTATGGAGGAAATGCCTAAAACGTTTGAGAGTGTATTAGTAATATAGCTAGAAATAGAAGTAAGAATTAGACCCCCCTCCCTTTAGCACTGTTGCTTCTGGCATTCATTTGTAGTTATTTCAAGCAGTGGGTCATCAGATTTCTTCCACGTTATATTACCCATTCAACTTACACATTTAGTGTCTGATCCAGGGTTTAGGTTCATTCAGTCCAGCAGAGATATTTGTTAAAATCTTATACTTACAGCATTGTTAGCTGTAGGCACATCCTAATTGGGTATATAGGACATACTAATAAAAACAACAAGCACCAAGTGAACTATATTTAAGTGTTTAAAGAATTTTCCAAAGGAGTTTGAGGGCCTGTCCTGCCAAACCTAGTTAATGCCAAGTCTTCTCAACCGGTGAGTCATTTCCGGTGTGTACAAGTGCATGTGCGCGTGTTTCCAGTGTTAGGAATGGAGCCCTACGGCCTTTGCAGTGAGCTCCTTCTCCCCGAGTCGCTAAGTTGCCTAGGCTGGACCAAACTTGCAGTCGTCCTGCCTCAGCCTATCGTCAGAGGGAGCTAGTTTGGATTTTAGGGCTGTGCCTGAGCAGGCGTCATTTCTTTAGGAGAGAGTACAGATTATGTCCTCTTCAAATTTTTATTTCAGGGATTAAAAGCTCATAAGGTACTTTATATAGTGCAGAATATTGTCCTGCAAGAGGCTATTTTCTTTGAAATCTGTAGCCTTAAAGATATAGCAGTATGTCTGATAGCATTTCATAGACTGTGAAATGATCAAGTTGGATGGCTAGGAGGTGCCTTCCTCGGGACTGAACTGCCTTCTAGACTGATGCCTGAAGAACACATCTCTGTACATGTGAAGAACACATGACGGTTCAGGCTAATCCCTGTGTTTGTTAAAATCTTACTCATCACTTTTGTCTGCTGTGCTCCTGGGCTGGTGGATGTCTCACCCTCTTGGTGCTCGCAGATCCTGTTGCAGAAGAGGTCATTTAGGTTTCATCAGAGTTAGATGCCGACACAGCCTCTAATCTTCAGGATTGGAGTTCCCAGAGTGCACAGCACAGTGCCTGGTGTAAAACCAATCAATGGAATGATTAATTCCATAAAAAGTGAACTATGGATTTGTAATGTATTTTGTTGGATTATGGTTTTTAGGTTAAAACTTCAGCAACAGATTGTGAATATTGAAAATGCTGAGAAAGAAAAAAATGAAAATTCTGATCTGAAACAGGTATGATTTTAGGAGATATTTTGTTTTTAATTTGTTAAATGCTTCTTTAAATTTGTATTTTGTATATTTTGAAGTTTTCTTACCAGTGTTATAATGTCGTCACCACAGTTAATAACATAGATGAGACTGATGTGTAAAAATGAAATGTTTCAACCGTCCTGCTTTAATTTAATAAGCTTCTTTTGCTAGCTGCTATTTTTATTAATGTATTTGCATGCTGTAGCCCATGCAAAGTTGTTGTTTTATCTTTCTTTTTTTTCCCTGGTACTAGGAATCAACTCAGGACCTTGCACTTGCCAGGCAGGTGCTCTGCTGTGAGCTATATCCCCAACCTCCCATGCAAAGGTTTAAAAAGTATAGTTAAAGACAGTTGTTAGGCCGGGCGTGGTAATACACACCTGTAATTCCAGATTCGAGCGGCTGAGGCAGGAGGTTGACTGAGAATTCAAGGCTATTGTCAACTGGATAGTGAGAACGTGTCTCAAAAACCAAACAAACAAACAAACCCCAACAACAACAACAAAACAAAAAACCTATGTTTAGCATTTTACATTTTAAAAATTACTTAGAAATATTATGTTTGAAGGTTACTTGAATAATTGGCTTGTAACTTTACATTTATCCATGAAGTATTTCTTTGTCCTTGTGTTTATGAGTTGTATTTGTAGAAAGAAATTTATATTTTATTTAAAGTAATTTGGATTCAGGGAAAATTTATGAAAGGTTGAGCGAAATATAGAAAAATGTTTTTTTCTGCATTCTGTTATTTTTTTTTGTTGAAAATACATTTTTCTTCCCTATAGATGATGTAGAAGATTCCACTTTTAGGATTTATGCATGTGCAGTTACAGTTTCTAAATCTTAACCAGGACAACATGATGTTTGATTTTCTGAGATAGAAGTTGCCTAGTATCGTTGGCACCCTTTGGATATAGACAGTGGTAGGCTCCTTGAAGGTTGCTTATTCAGGCAGTGATGATGTTTAATGTTTAAGATTTAATGTTTGCCACTCCAGTTAAAAATCAGTAATACTTGTGCATGAAGAAGTTCATTCTAAAATAGAAATTCGAGACATAGAGTTTTACTTTATTTTGCTAACAGTCACTTCGTGGACATACATGTAGGCCTACCTTATTTGGCTTTGTTGCCATGAGAAAAATATTATTTCCCCTTATTTAATTTATTGTATAAAGAATCTTGTTACTTTTAGTCCTTGGATCTCAGGATAGGTGCTTTTGACCCCTGGCTCTTGACTGTTTTTGCTCAGAAATATCTCAGAATGGCCAAAAGAATGAAAGAAAAATGAAGACTTTCTCATTTATTCATTGATAAAAGTAGCTAGTCGGGGAACTTGATGTAATTATCCTCAAGGAAGGCTATTTAGATATAACTTAGAAACAGTGTGGATCTTTCTAGCCTATGAATCTGTAACTACATAGCTACCTACTTTGGATGAGAAAAAGTTCTCCCAGATGAAGGAAAATTGGGATAAAGCCCATAAGTGATTTCATGGGTTAGATACAGCACTCTAGAGACCAAGGTATCTCTAGCATTCATTAGATTGCTCAAAGCACCTTTCTTCTGACCCACAACACTGGACAAACAGGACGCCGTGTAGTGTCGGGTGAGTCTGATCCTTCTGGTAGTGGTGCTCAGAGCGTCCCGCCTGCCCAGAGAGTGGACCTCTGCAGAGATAGCTCACCTCTGCCGTGAAGCAGGGTGAGCAGGTTCTTCAGCTGCTTTCCCAGCCAGTCTGCTTCAGAGTCCGTTCCTCCCAAGAAGGTTGGGGACGGCTGCGGTGTCGAGACTCACTCTGATGGTTGGCTTTTCTTTTCTCATGTCTTGCTTTCCTCCTGATGTCCCCCTCCCTACTCCCGGTTGCTTTCTGCTGTGTGTTTATTTTCTTTGGAAAGAAAAGAAGGGACTCAGTGACGGAGGGCTTATGGTTATTGATGATCTCTGGTTAAGAGCAGGAAATAACCGCACTGCTGCTATTTATTATTTCATTTAAGGGGTGTCCTTGAGAGTATTTTGGCTGCGTGAGGCATTTGGCTGGGGAGAGTCTTACTGTCGCCTCTCCTTACATAACTTACTGCTCTGCTTAGTGGCTGTATATTCACTGTTTTCATCTCTCTTTCTCTGTCTCTCTATCTCTGTTTTTTTGTTTTGTTTTGTTTAGCAAATCAGTAGCTTGCAGATCCAAGTAACCTCACTGACTCAGTCTGAGAATGAACTGCTGAATTCAAACCAAATGCTGAAGGAAATGGTGGAGAGGCTGAAGCAAGAATGCCGTCACTTAAAAAGCCAAGCGGAAAAACTACAGCTAGAAGTTGAAAAGTAGAGTTTGTGCTTCTTTTATGTATAAAATCTGTATTATATATGTATGTATTAAATCTGTCTTACATATAATATGTAGTTCTTTTAGAGATGATTCCAGCATCAAATGTGTTTCTGTTTAGTTACAAATACATTTTGATAGTGTACAATTGTCTCAGGTAATGCACTTTCCATTTGTATAAAATGAGCTTCATACTCTTAAATTGTTTCTTTTTTAATTTAAATACATAAGAAAGAAAGCCTTTCAAATCTGCCTGAGCAAAGGATTCTGAAAACACTCAAAGAAAAACTCTTTTTCATTGAGCAAACCCAAATATTTCTTCAGAAATCTGTTCTGAATACCAGAGAACAGAATGACTTGGCTGTGGGGTCGCTGGATGTGTGTGTGTGTGTGTGTGTGTGTGTGTGTGTGTGTGTGTGTGAAGATAAGGAAGTTGTTCATGCTGTTTGATGTTCCTGAGAGCCCCAAATAGTAGAAATTTATAGCTTAGGATCCTTAAATGTTTTCAGATGAACTTAATTCTAATTTCTTAGGAAATTTAAATAATTTATTGTTATTGTTGGTTTCTGAATGTTATTCATAGGCTTGTATAGAATAAAATACTTGGGGCTAGAAATCAGTAGAATGTAATTTTATTTTTTTCTTTTGAGACAGTCTCACTATTTAGTTCAGGCTGGCCCTAAACCCCAGGTGATCCTCATGCGTCAGCCTCCCGAGTTTTGGGTTTCAGCCATAAGCTACCATGCTTGACTAGAATGTAATTTTAAACTCAGCTAGCATCCTGTAATATGTAATAATGCTTACATTGACCCAAGGCATGTAATTTAACTTTTTGGAGTTTGTTATTCTCATTTGTACTGCCCAAAGTAAGGGTAATGAGGATCATATAAAGTATGATAAAAGAATAACTTTAAGTAGCTATGAAGAATAGCTTTTAAAATGTTATTGTTATGTTACCTTAATATATTATTTATATGAATTGTACTCTAGCCAGAAAACCTCCATCTTAAGACTTGATACCAGGCTTCATTTTTAACCAGCTTTATTAGGTCCACTTTAATCAGAGCAGGTTATTAAGTGTTTGACCTACTGTTGACCAGACCTGAGTCCTTATTGCAAGTCAATGAAAACTGCTTTAAGCCTCATTTTCTTTTCTTAAAAAAAGACTTAATAGAGAAGTACTTACCTTAGAGGGGTTTTGTGAAGACCTAGTACGCATACCATTCTGAGTGCCATGCCTGGCTCGTAGGAAGAGCTGTAAGGGTGCTGTTGGCAAAAGCTCATGCCTAGAGGTGGGAAGGAAGGAGTGGTCAGGCCTGTTGTGAGCTGGCTTATACTGGTGACCATCTTTTTAATCCTAAGAGTTTATATGAACTTACATGTTTCGTACATAATTCTTTTGATAGGACATTGGAAGAGAAACAGATACAGTGGTTGGAAGAAAAGCACAAGCTTCAAGAACGTATCACAGACCGAGAAGAAAAGTATAATCAGGCGAAAGAGAAACTACAGAGAGCTGCAACTGCCCAGAAAAAGGCAAGAGATGCTTATCAAAATGTTTTCCGTAGAGTAAAACACATTTTAGGAGAATAAAGGATGTAAGTGAAGCTAAGATTTTAGCGACGTATTTAATTTGATATGTAAGCATTATATTTTCCTATGAGTGTTGCAAGGGTAGCTTGGGAAAATCCAAGCCATCCAGCAGGTTAATTCCTAAGTTTTGCTTCGCGTGGACACACATTGATCCAGAGAGATGGTGTTTTTCAGAGTAATTGACAGTTTCCAGCCCACCCACAGACGTCTTAGCTAACTTATTCTTCATTATGTCATGGCATGACTAGGCCTGTGCCAACTGCCTGGCATCCGCGGCATGGTTTTTGTAGTTGAAAGGCCCTTGTGATTCCAACTCAAATGCAGGAGCAAGCATCTCCTTGGCCCAGCGGTAAGACCTGGGACTCTCCCTAGTTTCCGAAACAGCCATGATAGTTTCCACCCTGGTCTTTTCCAAGTTGGGCCCCTGCAGGGTACTTTTTGGTAGAACCTTTGTTTTCTGAGAAACAGTCCTGTGCATCATCGAAATTGTGTAGCCAAATGATTCATCAAAGTCAGTGGTTTACACTGTTTTTTGTTTTGTTTTTTAAGGCTTCAACAAACTCAGCAGTGTAGTAGGTCCTGTCAGAAACAGTGATCCCCGAGGCAGTGATTCAGCAGTTCTTTTCAGCAGACTTGAAGTTGGGGGCGCGGGTGTGGGTGTGTCTGTTGGCCGGGACTCTGCTAAGTTTCGTTCTAAGAGCCCTGGTTGTGAGGAGGAGGAGGAGGAGGAGGAAGGAGCTGCCATGACAGGGAGTTGCGTCTGTGTGTTTATTGTTTGTGTTTGCATAAGAAAATGTAACTCCAGATCATTCACATACACTGAGTTGGAAGCTAAGGACACCGTTCCTAGATGTCATTTTATGTTACTGGGTATAAACAGCAAATGCGACTGCAGAGTTATACCGTGAATAGTCTAAAAGTCATTAATTTTCCACTTTCCTGGCATATGTTACTTTTCTCATCATAATGCTAAAACTAACATAATGTGGAGATTAGAAAAACAACACTTGCTATATGGAATCCCAGTGTTTTATGCCCAGATAGAAGCACGCTCTTGTTTTTTTTTTCCTGTATAGGTCACTTTTCCTTCTTTTTGTTAATACAAGTACTGGGAAGTGTGGATGTCCTTGGGATTTCATTGAATTCTTTTGATATGTGATGGATGATCTTATTTATACCTCCTTGTACTGTGAACCCAGTTTCAGCAAGAAATTACTAGAAATTATAGGAGCTGATCTTTAGTTTCCACAGATAAACTTTTGGTTGAGATTTTAGAGATAATTATCTCAGAGATCAGTTCCTAATTATCAGGGTTAGTTTGGGTTGACTTCTTTTGGAGCAAAAGTGACATCCAGTGGTGAGAGAGATTATCAGCTAATCATAGGTAACCCAGATCTGGGAGGGGAGAGGATATTTAAAAAACTTACAAAGTAACATTTTGTCAGCATTGTGACCTAGGATGATGAGTGTTTTACTATGTGCACCTACCACGTGATGCATAAAAACATAGTATTAAATTCACTTTTAAAAGTATAGATTATGATTTAAGTCATGGGAAATTGTTAACTTTGGTTTAGTGACATAACAGGGATCCCGTGCCCCATATGGGCCGCTGCACCAAGACCTTATAGTTTTAGATCAGTGAAAGTGGGCAAACATTATATGTGACACAAATATTATTAGGAAGTATACAAATATATATATACTTTCTAATACACTTGTATACTGGTATACATACATGATTATAGGACTGGAAGGGACCTGACCACTGAAATAGCTTTTATAGGTTAGGAAACTGAAGTGTAGGTACCTAAGATCGCTCAACTAGTAAGGATCCAAACCTTCTAAAACCCTCATCTTTCTGTTCTCACTCCAGTCCTCTGCACTGTTGCTGTTTAATTTCCCACTTTCTTTGATTGTAGATATTGTATTGCTCTGCTCTTTATTATAGTCGTAGCCCTGTGAGTCTTATCTTCTGTGTCAGAATAATCACTATAAAGTAACTCACATCCTTTTCTCACTTGAGTTAAAGATAGTGCTGCAGTGCAATGAGTTGGTTAGAAGAGTACATAAATATAATTCATAAGAATATAACAGACATTTTTGGCTCTTTATTTAAATGACAAAAGTCATAACTGTCTTATGCAGTAAGACTTAAATCACAGAATAGAAACCCTAGAGCAGAAGTGATAGCGCTTTCCTGTGAACAGTGCTTATAGCTCGAGAGTTGGCAACTTAGATCCCGCCCCACCGCTGCCCCGCTGGGTGGGGTGCCTCATTGCGCTGGCTCGAGGGCACTTAAGTAGGACTCCGCTCCTTCGCCCAGGCTTCCATCATTTCTGGGAAGCATCTCCAGGAAGGGTCTTTGTGTAAAAGATACTTTGTTGATTGATTTGTTTGAAGAGCTTGCCTGGGCGGGGCTGGGCTGCCCTGCAGTGCAGGCTCCTGGTGCTCTCCCTTTCCATGCCCCCTGGTACAGGTGTGAGTAGGAAGAGAGATCTTTTGAAGTTAGCACAAGAATTGTTTTTCCTTTTGAGGCGCTTGAAATAACAACTTGTTATTTTTATTCTAAGATACATTTTCTGAAATAACTCTTGGTCAGATACTGTCGTGAATATTTTCAGAAAAGAGATGAGCCATAATCTGAAAGTTGCAAAATATCTGACTGAATATATTGTGTGGCCTCAGATTATGCCACACACTGGGGAGAAAATGGAAGCCACCATCATTCCCTGTCCTTGGGGACATAGATTCTATTTGGACAAATACAATGATGTACGAAAAATACCTAAAGAAGTAAGCTTAAGAACTTGTGCACAAGAAAAAAAGAAAGAAAAAAAAAAAAAGACAAATGTGCTGGGCATGAGGCACACACCTGTGTCACAGCCCATGAGGGGCTGCGGCAGCATAGCCTGAGTGTTAGGCCAGTCTGAACTTCTGCTGAGTCCTTGTCTCAACAAAACCTTGGATAAAGAGAAACCACCAGATAAGAAGTTAACATAGTAAACATAGAATGAGGTAAAAAGCCTAGAATTGGGCTTGAAGTGTTGGAAGGAAAGTGAAGCATAACCCCACGAGGCATTTTGAAGGGAAAATTACAGAAGATTTAACTGTGTACGGTGTGGGTGGGTGTGGTCTCAGCTATTCAGGAGGCTGAGACAGGAGCACCCCACGAACCCAGAAGTTTGGAGTAAGCCTAGGCGACATAGCTAGGCCCTCTCTCAAACAAGCAAGCAAGAAAATAGGCAAACAAAAAGCACAATATGGTGATAAGTAAGGAAGAGAAAATGTCTGTGTCAGCTGAGAAGTGGAGTAGATTTCATTAAAATAAAACGTTGGCTGTATATCCATGTAGTATGTAGTGGACTCTCAAGTAAAGCCTAGATAAATGGAATGAAAAGCATCAAGCTGAGGAAGTCAGAACAGAGATAAAATAAGGTCCTGGATGTGATGAAGAATACAGGGCAGAGCTGAGCTGAGAGGAGGACTGTCTTAGAGGTCAGAGCTACAAGGCAGAATTATGAAGCCAAAGGAAAAGGAAGTTATAAAAGATAAATGGTCATTAAACGCGGTTATTGAAAGAAGTTAATTGGATTTGGCAGTAAGAGGGGAAATCCAGCTTTGATTTTATATCCATATTTTTAATTGTTCTATTATTCATTTGTGTTATGGTGTTTATAACACTAAGGCATCCATCTGGCTATCCTGTAATTGAATTGGACTGCTAATGTGAAAATGAAAATTGTTCCTTTCAACAAGTTTTCTCTCTGGTTGGCATTTCTTTTTGTAAAAGTCTTGGGCTTCAGACCTTGCATTTATTCTGGGGCTGCCTTTTGTCCAGACCTTGTTAGTTGCTGTATTCATTTTCTAGGACTAAAATACCAAACTGTATAGGTTAAAACAACAGAAGTTTATTTTCTGACGGTTCTGGAGCCTGGAAATCTAAAATGGCAGTGTCACCTGGTCCTGCTCCCTCCGTGCAGTCTGTGCAGGTCTTCCAGCTTCTGGTGGCAGTCTTCGGTGTTCGTGGTGTGTCAGCCTATCACCCAGCCTCCGCCTCTGTCTTTACATGCTCTTCTACCTGTTTGCCCCTCTGTGTCCAGATTCCCCTCTAATACAATAGTCACACTGGATTCAGGGCCTACCATAGCCTGCTATAAACTCATCTTAACTTGATTATATCTGCAAGGTTTCTCTTTCCAAATAGGTCTCTCTGGAATGTTTTCCAACACCAACAACTAATTTTCAATTCTCTGGACACCAACCATGTGTTCCGTATTCAATCCTGAAACTATCTACGAGACTTATAATCAGACCTCACAGTTTAAAGAGCTTATTGCCACGATACTGCTTCCCCTCAAATACTAGTCATAAATCCAAGCCACCCAAGTGGCTATGCACTAATTTCCATGATCCATTTCCTCCTACTATGTGATTATTTGCTAGGTCAGCTGACAGAAGTCAGAGAAACAACCATCTGCCATTTATTAGAAAGGCTACAACTCAAGAACAGCTAAGTGGAAGAGCTGGACAGGGGAAGGCATGGGCTGTAGCAGCTGTGTGGTGGTCCTTTGTTTTTTGGGGGTGGGCCATCCATCCAGCAGATCACAGTAGCTCCCCAAACTGAAATTTATTGTTCAGAAGTTGTAGAGCTCAGTCTCCAGCCAGCCTCTCTTCCCTGGGAGAGTGGGACTTAAAGTGGCTACTGTTTAGTCACTTGACCTTCCATCCTGAGGTTCACTTCATTAGTAGTGACTGAGATGTGATTCAAAGGGAATTCTGGTCTCAATTACAGAATCACTCATCACTGAGGAAATTCCTGGGGTTTCAAGAGCACTGCAAGAGCAACTTGCAAATATATTACTCACCTTTCCAAAGTTACGTCTTAAAGTTCTTTTGGGGAGACAGTATTTAACCTAGTGTATGCACGGTTATGTTTCTTG